CACTCAGAATTAACAAATATTATCCCAGCAGAGGTGTAGCACTTCTGAGCTGGGTTCTGTATCTGTCACTAATTGAGAGCATTGTCAACATTAAAGGATGCTTCTTAGTCATGTCAACTAAACTCTTTGTGCTTGATTTGGCTTGCAGTACGCAGATCCGAGGCACTAATTCCAATTTCGGTCTCTAAATTGACGAAAGCCTGTGTTTACAATACATAAATCTTCTTTATCGATAGGTTGCGTCTCTGTATTCGAGAAAGGATTGGCAGGCAAACGTCCCGATATCTTGCTTGATGATGGCACTAAGCGCTGAGGTTGCAAGCTTTGCCGACATTCCGGATCTTGTCGATGTTTGGTGCAACTCAATGAATAATGCTTTTCTTGTTAAGGCCTTCCCGCATTCGCCGGGAGGATTGAGGTGGTTGACGGAAATGTGGGAAGCAACAGTAAAGGGCGAACAAGGCGAGGGCAAGGCGGAGAGCCAGGTCCTAGTCGTCAAGAACGACCGAGGTTGGTACTCAGTCTATGCCATTTCGAGGTCAAACCAGTGACGATTTATCATAGGCAGGGTGGTTTCGGCGATGTTACTCTGGACAGTGCCACAAGGCAAGGCGATGGATCAGGAGATATGGCGAGAACGGTACCCTGCGTACGACAAATTCTCAGAAATGAGCGATGAATTGATTGCAGGCTTCTTCAACAGAATGGCTCATCAACACGAATATGTTATGAAGTCTAATCGTCATATATGTGAGTCATGCCATTCCGTAATGCTCTCTTGTGATAGACCCTGAACTCGTGACTAGTTATCGAAGGTTTGATGACCCATAAGGACTTTAGAAGACAAGGCTTTGCCACCCAGCTTCTAAAGCGGGCTGCTCAAGTTGCCGATGATTTGGATCTAGAGTCGTATCTTGATGGAGGAAGGTCAAGCGTGCCACTGTACAACGCGAATGGTTTCCGAGAGGCGGACTTGAGCGCCATCGGAGGTGCCAATCCTAATACTGCAGTCCCAATGCTAAGGCAGCGGAAGTCGGCAGTGTCAGCGTAGAATCAGCTCGTCTCTTTGGAACTCGAGAATTTTAGAAGCAGATCGGATTTCTTTGCGTGATAGCCTGATAGGCGACAATTATTTTAACTCAGTACCCGTTCTCCGCACCTACACAGTTTCGGCAACTAAAAACTCCTTCAGGATCCCAGGTGTTCTTGATTTCGGATAGGCGCTTGTAATTGGCACCAAACATCGAGTCCTGCCAGCTGGCTTCCCATTCATAGTCCTCATTATAGTATGTTGCAGTACCAAAGTTGCGGGTAGCATTATCCTATCTATAGGTAAGAAATAGTCAGCGACGAGGCTTCTTACTAAGAGGCGCATGTCTTCTTCACACCGCTGCTATCTCACGGCGTAGCTTGTAAGAAATTAGACAAACCCCCTGCTGTTGCAATAGGCGGCCATTGCATCGTCTAGGAATATTTACCAAACTATTTAGTTTCTCTACTTGGAAAGTTGGGTATACAAGAATTAGAAGCTATGGTTTCTATCGCGGCTCCTCGGCTATGTGTCTGTACAAAGGCTGGTGACTGATGAGGATCAAATGCGATTGCCCTGTTGCTGGGCTCAATCACTTTGTAGCTGTAGCGCATGAAGACCCTTAAACGGCTTGTCTCAGCGATCTTGGCCTCCTGTGGTAACGCGGGAATGCCTCAGCCGCACTCAGCCCCTTCCAACGGGACACCCAAGTCGACCAATTCGATGCAGGAACAGCCAGTGCACAGCCACGGAATGGCGTCACTAGCAGCTCGTGCTAAAGAGCTGGCTTTCAAGATAGCCCAACCCGTCCCCTCAGTGCTCGTCTAGCTGTAACCTTGACGCCTCTCGTGATTGAATATCAGCAAGGAGGCAGCCAATCCAAGCCTACAACTATAGTATTCTTATTGAGGCTTCAAGAACTTGACTCTGTCAAATTGTCAACTTTCCTACTGACTCCTACTGCACAACGTTTCAAAGGGCCACCTACTTATACCCTCTATCCTCTTAGTGAAGTAACTTAGACCGCGGCGCGGCTAACCAGCAGCGATTCTGCTTGTAACTGGAAAACCTTACACAAAGCAACAGACTCACCTCATCATGGCTGGCCAAATTCCTCATATGGCTCCAGTGCCCCAGATCGGTATCTTCACCGACTACTGCGTGCGAGGACCCAATCCCGAGGTGCTGGTGCTGCGCGAGAAGGTCATGTCTCTGTCGGGGGACAGCTTCGAGATCAAGCTCATGAACGGGCAGCCCATCTTCCGTGTCCAGGGCAAGGTCATGTCCATCTCCGATCGCAAGTCCGTGTACGACATGGCCAACAACCACCTGTTTGACATTGTCAAGGAGCACTTTCACATCCACTCGACATATGCCTGTGAGGATCCCAAGGGCAACAAGTTCTTCGAAGTCAAGAGCGGTTTCAAACGTGGGTTCCCTGTCCTCTGCATTTGCCTTTTTGACACATTTTTGCTAACTATGCCGTTTAGTTCTGGGCTCAAGTGCCAAGGCCACCTTTACTGACAAACAGGGCAAGGCACATACCCTCAAGATGAAGGGCAACTGGTTTGACACCGCGGCCGACATCACCGACGAGTCCACAGGGCACACCGTGGGACGCATCGATCGCAAGCTGCTTAGCGGTCGCGACATCTTCTTCGGGCAGCAGACCTATGCTGTGGAGGTTGCACCTGGCGTGGATATGGCTCTGATGGCAGCCATGTGTATCTGTATGGATGAGAAGAACAACGAGGGTGGCGGATTGCTCAGTTAAAGCAGCATGTGAAGTGGCCCATACGTGTCGGTATACTGAAACGATTGATGCATGTCATGAGATATGGTTCCGGAGGAAAGCAATGGGGGGAATGTTTCGTTATTTGTTCTCTAGGGAATGAGGCTGAATAGTCCTTGGGCGTTAAGAATCAATCAACTTGAAAAGTTATATCAAATCCAAAGTCTTCAATGCACAGTATCCATCAACTGAGGTCTGAGTGTATGTTGCGCTATGAATCCAACTTCTCGATTCAATTGCGGCTTTTATTTGAGCGCATGTGGAATATTTCAGTCGATATACTTCCATTACTCAATTGTGTGAGTATTTTCGCTCTGTTTTTGATGGGTAATACTATGTACAAAGGTGTTGTTATGATGAATGCAAGCAGAGTTGATGAAACTGAGAGCTTAGGTTGAGTGAGTGGCCTAGGTGGGTACCTGCCTACCTACCTCGCTGGGTGGGCACTGTACCTTAGCTCTGGGTCAATCATCTACGTCACAGCGGCCTGAGAGACATCCCACATGTCATTCATATTGACATCCATTTGCGACACGGTCACAACAACACCGCCGCCCACTGCCCGCCAACCTTCAAGCTACGACGGCTTCGACGACAAATTGAGACCAAAGATGCAGATTGAAGCCAAGAGCCAATGCTAATTAACACGATGCAAATGCCACCAGCCAGGTAACCAGCATCCGCCGTGCCCGAGAGCAGCCCGAGTCCGATCGCCGGTTCCCGCATCCATTCCATGCCTTCGGTCGCCGCGTCTTGACCCTTGCCGACCAACATCCCACCTTCGCTCTCCTCCCTACTACTAATACTACCGACGACGACGACGAGATGAGGCCTGCCCTCTTGTTCTTGTCCTCCTCCGCCTACTCCTGTTCTTCTCCACTACTCCGCTCCTTCACGCGCGTTGGTGTCAACCTCGGCCTCAGCATCAACGCTTGTGCCCGCACCTCCCAACCCAAACCGGCATCTCTCCGCAGACTCCTGACACAAGCTGCTTTCCACACTCCGAAGCGAACGCGGCCCCCTTCAACAGCATGGCGCTCCGGACGACGGAGGATTGGCGCGACAACCCTTTTCGCCGCTGCCAATGGCGCTGCACTCGGCACCGCTGCCTTCGTAACTCTCTCCGAGAAAGGTGACGGCGACGATGACAAGACCGCCGAGTCTCGCATGCTTGAGGTATCCCGAGCTGAGATTGCAAAGAAGGTTGATGACGATGACCACGGCTTCTCACGCCTACGCCACCGCATCGTCCTCTTCGTTGACTTGTTCATCTGGGAGCCCATCTGTACCGGCTTCCGCTTCCTGCATCTCGCCGCCATCTTCATCCCCGTCATTATAACCGTGCCTGTCATGTGGTTTGGCCGTCGCCAACCCGACCGCGGCAATGAGACTTCGGGTACGCTGTGGTGGTTTGGCTTCCTCGTCAAGGCCATGGAGTGGGCAGGTCCTGCATTTATCAAGGTAGGTGCTGTTGCGGTGATGGCTTGGTATCGCATGACACAATTCTGAACACCGTCAAGCTAATCTCGCGGTCATTCTCAGCTCGGTCAATGGGCCGCCTCAAGGTCTGATATTTTCCCTACAGAACTATGCGACATAATGTCCAAGCTACATGCGAACGCTCCAGCCCACTCCCTCCACGCAACGAAACGCATAGTCCAGGCTGCCTTTGATGGCCGGAATTTTGACGACATCTTCGATGAGTTCCACGAGAAACCTCTCGGCGTAGGCGCCATTGCTCAGGTATACAAGGCCAAGCTCAAGCCCGACCTGGCCGCCCCCGGCGACAACGACTTGGGCGAGACGCAGCTGGATCTTCGCCAAAATGTGCGCAAGAATGTGGGATCTGTACTCAAGAGCACACCCAAACGCGTGCCTTCTTCATATGTGGCCATCAAGGTCCTCCATCCTGGCGTCGAGCGCATCGTACGGCGAGATCTGCGGATCATGGGCTTTTTCGCGTCCTTGCTCAATTTCATTCCTACCATTGAGTGGCTGTCGCTTCCTGACGAGGTTGGACAGTTCGGCGAGATGATGAAGTTACAATTGGATCTGCGCATAGAGGCTGCAAACTTGACCATCTTCCGAAAGAATTTCAAGGACCGTACCACGGCTTGGTTCCCCTATCCGTACACCGAGTTCACAACGCGCAGTGTATTGGTAGAAGAGTTCGCGCAGGGCATCCCACTTTCTGACTTCATGGAGAATGGCGGCGGCGTATTCCAACAAGATATAGCCTCGGAGGGCCTCGACGCCTTTCTACGCATGCTCCTGCTAGATAACTTCATCCATGCAGATCTCCATCCAGGAAACATCATGGTGCGCTTCTATCAGGCCGACACGCCAAATTTCAGCCTCCGCCTACACCGGAATGACAGCACGGCAGCTGCGCTTGAAAACCAACCTGACGTGACTGAGGAGGTTCTTTCACGACTCCGTCCGTTTCGCCATCGCAAAGACACTGCAGCCTGGGAAGCGGAGCTTGCCAAGATTGATCGCGAGGGCTTCCGGCCCCAGTTGATCTTCATCGATACTGGTCTCGTGACGGAGCTCAATGCTACCAATCGCCGCAATTTCCTCGATCTCTTCCGCGCCGTAGCAGAGTTCGACGGATACAAGGCCGGGCACTTGATGTGTGAACGATGCCGTCAACCCGACGCCGTCATCGACGAGGAAGTATTTGCCCTCAAGATGCAGCATCTAGTCTTAAGCGTCAAGAGCCGGACCCTAGCGCTGGGCAACGTCAAGATCGGAGATATCCTCCAGCAGGTCTTGGCCATGGTACGAGGTCATCACGTACGCCTCGAGGGCGACTTTGTGAACGTCGTCATTAGCATTCTGCTGTTGGAGGGCATAGGGAGGAACCTCAACCCGGAGATGGATCTCCTGAGCAGCAGCTTGCCTATACTGCGCCAGCTGAGTGCGCAGAGCGGTGCGGAGCTGGCCAAGCAGGGTGACTTCAGCATGATTGTGGTGTGGATGGGCCTGGAAGGACGACGATTTTTGCAGGCCAGTGTTGAAAGCGTGAGTATCCCTTAATTCCCGGGTTGCTTGTTCAATTGGCTAACTCTATGCAAATAGGTTGAGAGATGTGTGAAATATGATCTCCTCTCCCCGAATATATAGCGACGTTGATGTAGGAAAACTCAGTATATGCATAATAAGCGTATTCAGACCGCCTTTAGTCGAATTCATTACGGACAAAAGGGATACGTCGTAGCTAATGTACACATGTGGTAACGGGTTAGAGTTGCTTGTGATCTATTTATTATGACTAGAAGGGGCTTATGGTTTGGGTACACCCGGAAGATCATAGAGCGATGTTGAAATGTAGAATATATATACGTCTGAAACAACGAAATATTTACTGATAAAAGGCTATATACAATGTGATGCCTAAGTTGGGAAGAAATCAGATGAGTGGCAGGTCAACGGTCTATCCAAAAATGCGACCCAGGGGTCCTGAAAGATCAACGCAAATGCGGAATGCGCTAGAGTTTGACAGCCTCTGACGTCGTATTTGCCGCGCTACCTTGTCATTTTTGAGAGTATTTGTTTAGCTAGGCACGCCAGCTTTGATGTTATCATACTTGCTGTTGGGGTAGCTGAGCAGATTCTGAGTAGAGTCCAGCGCACTGGCTCCTCCCAACGAGTTGAAGCTCGTAAGCATTAGACTGCTGCTATCGGTCTTGTCGCCCGAGGCCTCCCAGAACATGCTCCCGCCGAGTCCCTTGGACTTCAGGTAGGACACCTTGGTCTGGACCATAGCCGGGGTATCATACGAGATCAGCTCCTTGGCGCTGCTGTCGTAGCTGTAGGTGGCGCCGGCAACGCTATCAGTGTAGACTGTGGCGCCGGACTTGGGCAGGGCCTTGTAGTCCCAGACACCGTTCTCCCACGAGCCGCTACCAATGCCGGAGTAGGACTGACCGATGCCTGCGGTGTTCTCGAATGATCGGCCGTAAATTGGCATGCCGAGAACAATCTTGCTCGATGGCACACCAGCGGCAATGTAAGCCTTGACAGCATCATCCGTGTTGAACTTGGTGGCGGTCGGGTTGCTGGGGTTGTTGTAAAGGTTGGCCTGATGTCCGCTTGTGGTGTCCCACGAGCCAGCATAGTCATAAGCCATCAGATTGAAGTAGTCAATGATGCCTGCCATTATCCCAAGCTTCATGATGTTGTAGTTAGTCGGGCCAGCGGGCGACGCAATGGTTAGGAGGAAGTGGTATCCAGGGGCATATTGAGCCGCATATGCATCAAGCTGCGAGCGGACCTCCTGAAGAAGAAGAACGAAGTTTTGAGCTTGGGTGGCATCAGCGGGATACTCCCAATCAATGTCAATACCGTCGAATCCCCAGTCCTTCACCAGCGTGACAGCGCTGGAAGCGAAGAGTGCCCGGCTTGTCGCCGTGCTGGCGGCAGCAGGGAAGTTGGTAGAGTAAGTCCAACCACCTATACTAAGCATAACCTTCATCTTACGATTGGCCTTCTTGAGTAAAAACAGTTGCTTAACACAGCCATATGCGTTTGTTCCGACATCGTTCCAGGCTTACGTGTTGTTAGCGCCATTCTCGCGAACCCCTGTTAGAAGAGATGGCATGACTTACAGTCGGTGTCATAATGCTTTTCAAGATCTGACCATGTGTCCGAAGAATAACTATCTGTCATCAATACTACTTTTCTCAATGAAAGAATTTATGACCATGTGGCATACACTTGACCAGAGCTCTGAAGATTAGCAAATGCATAGAGAACAATGCTGAGCTGAGATGCGGGCAATTGCTGTGGTTGGTAGTTTCGACCATAGATTGCCCTAACAGTATGCGTTAGTAAACATCGAAAGCATTTTGTATTTTATTGATTGCACATACCAATTGGTGTAGTACACCGAGTTCTGGTATCCGCTAGCCCTCTTTTCGACTTGAGTAACTGGAGTTGTCGTTACCAAAGTCACTGCGGACAGCAACGCAGCCAATACCGAGCCAATCTGCACGAAACGCATGTTGGTAAACAGAATAGAAGTATATACAAATATAGAAAGGCTATATTATCGGTTGATCCTGCCGAGCTCTGCAGTTGTCTTGGTTGCCCGGCCAGCATTCAGCAGATCGATAGTCTTTATATATGTATCGTGGAAGACCCCTTGTGAGAGCTTGCCATGCTGGATGGTAGTATCCAAAACCGGCAACCAGCTTCTCAAAGTCAAAGCTTCTCGAACCAGATCAACGTTGGTTGCGAAAGCACTCCATTGCCGCCCTCCCCCTGCTAGGCAGATCTCCATCCGGCGAGCCGGGGACTGGCAACGTTGCCACATTTGTTCTTGACAATTGTCTTTGAATACCTTGCTCAGCCGGAGAAGCTCCAGCGCCGCGCTTGGGCTCCAATCTCATAATCGCTAGCTTCCATTGTGAGCTTTACTGGGAGTGTGATAGCCTGACATTAGCACGAGAGCAACTGTGTGTGTGCGCGCTGGTGGCATGACTGCAGTGGTTAAGGAGCTGACGGCGGGCTATGGATGGTGTCTGCAGTGTCGAGGCAACCCTATCCATAATTGAGTTGCATCTGATTCTTTGAATTGGGGTAATTAAGACAGAATGCCAGCTGCAGGAACCATCTACAGCCTTGGCCTAGCACGGAAAGGGACTTGAAGTGTATACACCAGGAGATTAAGCTACTGACCGATCCAATAGACAACGGCATTTACAGTCCAATTACCGTAGTCGGCAGTGTCAGGGGCTTGTGATGGGCGGCAGCTCATTACCGATAAACCTGCAGGGATTCAAGAGACGCACGCACGACTTCCCAAAGAGGAAGGTCATTGGCATCTCAACGCTTGACCTCTCATGACAACTAGGCAATACTAAGAACTCCTTTCAAAGAAGCGCCGAAGTGAGTGAGGGGCACGAATGCTCCTTGGCGCGCGCCCGAGACATTGAATTCTCTCCAATTTCCACCTTATCACCCTGCAATTCGAACTGACAGTGAGCGATGGAACCCCACGTCGGGCCAGGTGAGCATCCATCAAGGGGATAGAGAGCTCTCACTGTAACCCTCCACAGTGAAGCCTCCGCACCACACATGGAGGATGCTTGCTCAAGCTAGGCTCGGAGGACGGGTCAGGCAAAGGAGCAAGTAACTCCCTACCTAAAGCTCTGGTGAGTTGTATAAGTCACGCTGGCTCCTGACTAATGACCTCCGCAACGTCTAGGTTCATAGCATGGGTGTTCGGCGGGATGAACCGCCACACTCAAGATAGCGTCAGGGAAGTAAAATAGAGTACATGAATGGCGTCGGTGGTTGCTTCTATTGTGGCTAGATAGCTCCTGATCTAAAACTCTATGTAACCTCATCAGCCCTGCACAGATGTTGCAACGTTACCCAGACGCATTGTACAGACTTCATAGCTAAGGTATTCAGAGGTTATGACTATCAACGAATACAAACTTGGTCAAAGAGAAGGGTCAACTGCAAGGCCAATACTCACACCCGTCACACATGCGATGAAGATGCACGGTATCGCGGTCCCTTTAACATTCACAGTTCACCATCCGATGGAGTTACAGACGTCGGATGTGGGGAAAGTAGTATGACCCCTGCTTGAATAAGCCTCATCTACTATCGCTAGACACTCGAGAGTATTGGCCAAGCTATATTTTTCCAGTGATGGCACATAGGCCAAGCACATATCCCATAACTTCTACTTTCCCTAGACGGAAAGCCGATCAATAGACTCCAAGGCAAGTGGAGCTAGCCTTAGGTTCCCTATCAGATGAAAGAATTCAAGGATGTCGACCATCAATACTCTGCTACAGTGTCTTCAGCTTCAGGTAACATTGCTCAGGCTTACGGAACATGAGTTCCACTCCTCTCATACTATTGAGGCTACGTGGGACATGCTGGAACTCAAACTTCAGAACGATCAGAGTTATCATGATCCGGAGTTCTTGCATGGCTAATCGTTTGCCTGATCAAGGCAGGTCAGCCTGATTCAAGAAGCGGGGAGATGCATCATCAATTCCATACCAAAGCAGCCTCTTGGACCGTTACCAAATGCAAGTCGAGGCAAGGCATAGGCATCGAAGCTTTCTTTGCCCTCATCAGATGTAGTGAGCCACCGTTCAGGCTGAAATGCAGCCAGATCGTCACCAGCAGGACCATCAATGCCACTGCCAAACTTCCTCTTATCTCGCGCTTCTCGGCTACTGAGGCTCCGGAGCCTTTCGTCGATCGTAACAGGCCTTTGTGTCATGAGACCACTCAGAACAATATCGGTTCCGGCGGGAATCCGGTGTCCCAATATATCTGCGTCGACTTTAGTGATACGGTTCACCCTGCCGGTCGTGGCGGCAAGTCGCAGGCTTTCTTCAATGGCTCCATCTAAGTAGGGAATATCCGATTCGATAATCTTTGCCGCATCTGGAAGTGTCGGCCCGGGAAATGCGTCTTGAAGCCTTGTGCGCAATTTAGATTGCACAGCTGGACTGTTCGTCATGTACTTGACGAACCATGACAGCGTATTCGATGTTGTGTCGTGACCCTAGAAATAGCTCAGTGTCTTGCATAATATGATAGCAGTGAAGTATAAGTTCACTCACAGCCCACATGAGCAGCATGAGCTCATCCCGTAACTGAGGGTTCTTGGTTGGATCCAACATAGGAACACCGGATTTGATGGCAGAGAGCATGTCTCTTCTTAGTACCAAGTCCATCGCACATGTGTCGTGTTCCGAACCGTCAGTTGTACCATCCAGGAGTTTCTGGAAACGTGCTGTAGCAGCCATAATGAGGCGATTAATCTCGTCATTTCTGATTTGATTGTATTTTCGAAAGTCTGCTCGATAACGGAGTATCCACTTGCTGAGCGCAGGAAACCAAGCCTTGTCCATTGCTAACACTGACTCGTCAAGCAGTCGCACAGTCTTAAGCATGTTCAAACCTCTACCCGGGGTTGAGTGAGAACCTGAGTCTCGCTCTTCCAAGGTGTTGATCTTGTCTCGCATGCCGCCCAGCTCATCCCCCAGAATGGCGGACCAGATAGCATCTAGAGCCGCTGTGTCGAAGTCATGAGTGACATCCACTGGCCTGACCTTTTCTTCTCTTGCCTTAAGTTGCCAGAGCTCGACCAGCTCCATCGCAGACTGGTGAATTTTAGGTGCAACCACACGGCGGAGAAAGTCTGGCGTCATCACATCCATCCAGAGCCGACGTTGATATTTCCATTCTGGACCTGTCGGCTTGACAATAGTGCAATGGGGCATGATCAAACCAATTGTATCCATGGAAACATGCGAACGGTCAAACTCCTTGTTTCTCCGCAACAATATGTCTTCGGCTTCGCAGGGGTCGTCGATGAAGACCCATGGGCGGCCTAGCGGGTTGATAAAGAGTTGAATGATTGGCGAGGCAAGCTTGCGGCAATGCTCGTATCTTGTCATAGATACCTCCCTGTCTCTTTCAAAGTCTTCCACAACGCGTGGTAGATCGCCTGAAATTCGCTTCGTAGATTCTTCATAATAGGGCACTCCCGGAATGGGCTTCGGTAAGAGAGTCCAACGCACATTTAAGCCAATCAAAAAGAACACTGTAACGAGGATCGCAGCTTCTACAGACGCCATCTTTTCACACTTTTCCTCTGCAAGTAAGAGAACGGCACTCACCGTTTCTGTGGTATTGAGACTTCTAATTTGTACGAGGGGATGCGTTGTTCAAATAGGCTGTCTTCAACGCTTGAGCCCCACGATGTGCCGCACGCGCCGTAAGTTCACAGCAATTCTGAAAGGGTGCTGTCAGGAATAAGCATCACCTAACCTACTCCAACAGACCGGTTCTTACTGGGATGAATTGTTCTCCAATGGAGTGGCATCTGCTTCGCTTACCCAAGATGTCAGTTGGGGTAAGCACCTCTCGGCAAATCAGGCGAGTCGAATTGTAAAAATTACGCAGTAAGAAGTTCTTAGACAAGCTAGGAGTGTCAATGCTTCAATTGCGCTAAAGTCTTACCTCTGACCATTGTCGATCGTTCGACTTCCAAAGAAAGTCTCTGCGTCATAATGTTTTGTGATATGTAAATCCACGTCTCAATGGGTTTGCAAAGACCCTGGAAAGGACATGAAGTCAGGATGGAGCCCACTTCTCCACTATACAACAATACGATTTTTGAAAGCACTCTCGTGGACGGAAAGTGCTGCACGAATCATTCCTTGGGTAAGATGTATACGGTACTGTGACAATTGCTTAGTATCGACAGATAACCCAAAGTGGTCCAAATCCATGCATCCCGGTAATGTAAGCAGGAAGGGCGTAGACTATAGGACTGTGAGAATCATCAAAAGACTGTCGTGAATTACCCGAAAATATTTGTTATTTGATTCTCTTGAATGTTTGATAGACAGTATAACTTGTGTCCTAAGAGGGCTATATATAGTATATATGAAGCACTTAAGAGAATCATTATAGGAGGGTTCTAGAGGATAGTATATAAGAAAATGTTAAGTTATATAATCAACAATATATTAGTATCTTTTAGTATAATAATAATAATAATTTAT